TAATTTAAAATCAAATCAATTTGATTTTAAAAATAAAATAAATAACTACTTTATATAATGAAATTGATGAAATCAATTTAAAATTAAAACTAATCTTAAATAACTTTAGAAATAAAATTATTTACTATTTTAGATGATAAAATGAATGAAATCTTTTTCAAATTAAAATCAATCTTAAGCAATTTTAGAAAAAAATAATATAAGGAAAAGATAATTTTATAATTAATATGATATCAATGCTTTAGATGCCTATTAAAGAAAAATATATTATGTATTTTAATAAATTTAATGAATGAAATTAATTTTAAATTAATAAATTTTAAAAATAAAGTCTTAAAAATTAATAACTAGTTTGATCAATAAATATAAAAATAATTTCGATCAATTTTAAAAATAAAATCAATTAAAGTAAAAATAATTTATAATTGATAAAATGAATTAGATGATATTTATTAGGTTGACCACTTGATGGATTGGTCAAACTGATTCAATTGGTTGAACCAGATTTGGTGACCAAAACATGTTGAGCATTGGGTCGGGCTCTTAAACATTGAGTTTAAGGATAATTTTGATATTTTTTGAAGTTAAAAGGTAATTTTACTACAAATCTAAAAGTTCAGGGACCAAATTATTACAAGTGTGATGTCTTAAAATTGGGTTAAAGCCGACAGTGATCTCTCTACTTTGTGAAAAATTTCAATTTAACCCTTCTACTATGGAATCACCGCAGGTCGTCCCTCTACTTCAATTTGAACTCACATGTCCTCCCACTACTATTCAAAAAGTGATCAGTTTCGTCCCTCCAACCATTCCATGGCTAACACAATCACTTTTAACCATTAAAGCCTAACGGTTTGGTGTTTAGCATATATTTCTCTGTTATTCTTTCCTCCAATTTGGTCGTAATAGGACCCACTAATGCCACATTATACTCCATATTAATGTTTCTCTACATGAATATTTTACTAACTTTGTTTTCAATTATTAGCCATGTTTATTTATCTCTTTTTATCACTCCTTAGTTGAGTGTATAAGTATACCTACATTCAGCAAATTGAATAATAAAAAAGATTTTTAATACCTAAATAAATACTGAGTATCAAAATTTTATATTTATTAATTTTCAAATTAAATACAAATATAAGCAAAATTTTCACTTGTTCACTTAGCCCACTTATATACCTGAATAAAATAAAAAATTATAAGTTCACTTTAAATCACCCAAAACTTACGGTTAAAGAGATAGCAATATGCATTATAAATTTTTTTTTCTAGTTATAATTTTTTAAACCTTAATAAAATTCAAAAAAAAAATTATTCTTTTTTAAAAAAAATTAAATTTACTTGATTATCTATATAATTTTAAAAAATATCCCTTTAATTAACTCAACTAAAAAGTGATAAAAAGAGATAAATAAACGTGGCTAATAATTGAAAAAGAAGTTAGTAAAATATTCATGTAGAAAAATACTAATATGGAGTATGATTTGGCATTGGTGGGTCTTATTATAGTCAAATTAGAGAAAAGAATAATATAAAAATATATGTTAAACACCAAACCCTTGGGTTTTAATGGTAAAAAGTGACGGTGTTAGTCATGGAATGGATGGAGGGACGAAATTAATCACTTTTTGAATAGTAGAGCGAGGACAAGTGAGCTCAAAATGAAGTAGAGGGATGCCTTGAGGTGATTCCATAGTAGGGGGGTTAAATTGAACCATTTTACAAAGTAGAGAGATGAAGTTGGCTTTAACCCCACTTCCTGATGTCCTCCATTTACTATTGAACAGCTCAACATGTCCTCCGTCTCCAAATTCTCTAACACTGTTTAATTTTGACCATCAATGGCAACGGTCACACGCTTAACCAATTTTTTTAATGTTTTTTCAAAGATTTTGCTTACATAGGGTCCACTATTGCCACTCCCCAACCTGGACGGCTAGTTCTTTTCTTAAATTTTATATACTTTATTTAATTTTTTTAAAGAGTTTGTTTAATTTTTACTTTAAAAATATAATAAAAATAGTTTTTGTAATTAATTTATATAAAAATTTATAATAAGTAACATTTATTTTAACATTATTTATATAAAAATATTTTAATTAGTTAATTAACTAAATTAACATTTCGATTTATATTTTTTATACATATCAATTTTACTACATGCATTAAGAAACGATTAAAAAAACCTTCTATTAAATTATTCATGCAGTGGAATTACTCAAAATTTTCTTAACTTTTAGAAATTGACAGAATATGTTAAACTTAATGAGAGTACACTTATCATACCTTCAATAAATATGTTATGTAAAATTTATGGTTTTTTAACACCTTGAGTTGTTTCCCAATATACTTTATTTCAATAATTTGAATAGATATATGTTTCGGTTCAAGGAATGCAGGTCAAGGTTTTTTTTTTTCTTTCTTTCTTTTCCCTTAGCTCAAGGTATCAAAAGAAAATAAACCTTATATATATAATAAACTTATTAGAGAGGTATAACTAAGTATATTTTCATTGAATTTAACATATTCTGTCATTCTCTAAAAAAAAGAAAAAAGAAAAAATCCTCTATGAGTAATTCTACTACATGAATAATTTAATAAAAGGTTTTTTTAATCTATATTCCTAAAGTACAAGATAAGAGTGTAATAAAATTAATATATATATATATAAAAATATAAATATTGATTTTAATTTAATTAATTATCTAATTAAAATTATACATGTGTAAGTAATGTTAAAATAAAGGTTACTTTTTACAAGTTTTTATAATTATAAGTTTCTCTAACAAGTGCTTTTAGAGCATAAATTAAGAGTGCATTTATTATACATTTTGCCATTAATTTGTCCAAAAATTTTCAAAAATAAATTTTATTTTCAACATCATTAATATGTGAAATTATTCAATTGAATGATTGATAAAACTAAAATCAACTTTTATTTTTTATATAAATTAATGATAAAAAAGTATAATAAATACACATTCAACTTATATTATTAAAGTATAAATTAAAAAATTATATTAATTATAGAAAACTACGTTTATTGTATTATTGTGGTACAATTTAAACAAACCTTCTAATAAACTATAGGTTAAAACCCCTTTTTGGTCCCCGAACTATTGTACGGACCCCCGATTTAGTTCTTGAACTAAAAAAATCCTTGATTTAGTCCCTACTGTTTACCCATTTTACCCCAACTTGGTCCTTCCGTTAAAAATTATCCGTTAACTCACAGACATATCAAAAATTTAAGACACGTCAGTTGTCCAACTGGCTAAATGATGACATGGTCATACCCAACACAAAAACAAAAGTGGGGCTCACCAAATTACAATTTTGCATCATCTTCTTCCTCCAGCATCTTCTTTCTCGAATCTTCCTTCATTCAGACAATCAATTCAATATCGAACCCAACAGGTGCCCTTTCTTTTTCCTTCCTCTTCCTTACCTTGCCTTCTTCATCTTAATCAAACAACCAAACCCACAAAAAAAAAAAACAAAGAACAGAAATTTTTTTGCCCTTGGATTCGAAGGAACCCAGCGCTTGGGTTCGAGAAGGAACCCAGGCACCAGGGTTCGAGAAGAAACCCAGCACCTGGGTTCCTTCTCGAACCCAAGCAAAGGGTTCGTTGAAGAACCCAAGAGCACCTATGCCTTCGATTGCTTGCTGGGTTCAAAATCGAACCCAGCACCTATGCCTTCCTCATCTTCATCCACCTGCAAAAACCCAACGGCTGCCTTACCTTCTTCATCAATGAATTTCTCATATCATCAAACAACAAAACCCAAACAAAGAAAATAGAAATTTCTTTTTTTTTTTTGGAATCAAGGCTGGGTCTTAAGGAACCCAGCGCCTGGGTTTCATCGAACCCGGGCATGCTGGGTTCGGTGGAACCCAGGCGTGCCGAGTTGCGTCGAACCCAGGCGACGCCTGGGTTGCGTCGAACCCAGGCAACGCCTGGGTTGTGTTGAACCCAAGCCACCCCTGGGTTCGAAGGGTGAAGAGAAGGGGAAGGGGAAAGGGAAAAGGAAAGAGAAAGAAAAAGAAAAAAAAAATTTTAATTTTATTTTTCATAATATTTTTTTATATTATTATTTTTTCCATGTCATCATTTTTTTTGGTCTTATTGTCTTCCATGTCATCCTTTCCCGTCAAATAACAAGACACGTAAGCGGATATTTAACGGAAGGATCAAATCGGGGTTAAAATGGTAAACAGTAGGGACCAAATCAGGGATTTTTTTAGTTTAGGGACCAAATCGGGGGTCCGTACAATAGTTCGGGGACCAAAAAAGGGTTTTAACCTAAACTATATGAAATTTAAGGAAATGGCTAACACGTACAAGTGGAGGAGGGGCAATATTGGGCCCCACATAAGCAAAATCTTGAAAGGAATTAAAAAGTAGGTTAAACGGGTGACTGTTGCCATCTAACGGGTCAAAATTAAACGGTGTTAGAGACTCTATGGACGGAAAGATTACATTGATAAATTGATTACATTTTCAATAGTAGAGAGAGAATGTGTTGAGCTTTTCAATAATAGAGGGAGGCGGACATGAGGCGATTCCATAATAGAAGGGTTAGATTGAACATTTTTACAATGTGGAGGGATGATAGCTGATTTTAACCCCTCAAAATTTGAAATACAAGTGTAATTTAAGTGGTAGTATGCAAATATGAAAATGGTTTAAGTACCATTTTGGTCCCTCAACTTTTCATTTTGATATCAAAATTGTCCCTTAACTTTAAAAAGTACCAAAATTATCCGTAAACTTTCATTTTCGATACTAAAATGATCCTTCCATCAACTAAGTGACAAATGGCACGTTCAAATGCCACAAAATTACTGAATTTTTTGAATCTTAATGACGTGTAAATCTAATAAAAAAAAATTTGTCGAAAATTTTGTCACCATGGCATTTTTTTTACATGTCAAATTATCACTTTCTTAGCTTCCCTTTTAGTGGGATCCACATGAAAATTTGTTTTCTCTTTTCTTAGTTTAAGTTGAGTTCACAAAAATAAGCAGTGTTCTTCATTTCTCTTTTCATTTTCTTTTCAGATTCAAAACCCTAAACCTGCTACTTTTGGAAAATCAAAATCAAATCAAGCTTTATATCACCATGGAATTTGTTGATTGAATATGTTGATTTGGTATTTTTTATTATTAATTTACAATTTTCCAACCTAAAAAGAAAAAAAGAAGAACTTCATCTTCTTCTTATCATCAGATACAAAGAAGCAAGGTTGCCATCGCCGCCCCAACCCAGACGCAGAAGTACCTCAACCTCTAAACCTTACTGTTCCCAAACTCTCGCTATGTCGCCAATGCCCGTCATTGAGGCCGCCAAGCTTGAGACCGAGGAGGTTGTTTCCGTCGAGAAGCCCCAGAAAAAGAAGGTAAATCAATTAATCAAGCGCTACATGTTAGTCAATAATTTTAAAAAAAAAAATAGAAGTAAAAGGCAAAAATTACCTGACAAGACCAGACGGAGCGAGAAGCGACGGAGCCAGGGGCAGGGGAATCAGGGGGATGAGTCTCTGACCAAGTAAGCAGACCTACAGTTGATCTGTGCGGCTTCCTCATCGGCGTGCTCCTCTCCATTTTCTCCTCTATTCCTACTCCCATATGAACCAATGCTCTTGGCAACTACAAAAGCAACTCGAATAAAAAGCACCAAAACAACGCAAGCTTCGCTCGATCCTTCGCTTCCTTACTTCTCCTTCACAACAAAAACACTATTTTGAGCAAGAGCGAGTGCACATGAGAGCCAAAAGGAAGGCGTAGTTGGTGTTGAAGCTGGGTTGAGAGAACCCAGATCTAGGTTTGAGAAAACCCAAATCTGAGTTTTCTCAAACCCAGATCTTTGTTTTCTTCAAGGGAATCAAAGATAATTTTTTGGGGAAATCCATGGATGAGGTCTTTCCTCATGTTGCTCATGGCTCCAAACGACATGGTTGAGTAGGCGTAGAACAGGTTCGGTTGAGTTAACGCAAGAACTGACGTGAACCACCGATCAAACACGGCAAACTCGTTTGCCAACTCAATGTAAATTAGAACCCTACCCGGCTCGAACCTGTTCATGACGGTCTTTGCCATCCCTTCATTCATCAGTGCGGAGGAAGAAGGTTGGGAAAGAGGAAGGGGTGGAGGGATGAGAGAGAAGAAAGGAGGAAGAGGAAGATGAATAATATAATAATAAATTATGTGGGTTTTTATTTAAATAAGAACAAAATCCCACATAGAAAAAGAAAAATGTCATCTCATCAAGTTTGTTTTCTACATAATTATTTTTTTTTAAATGTGATTTTGTGGCAAGATAACGTGTCACCTGTCATTTAATTGATAGAAGGACCATTTTGGTACCGAACATGAAAGTTTAAGGATAATTTTGGTACTTTTTAAAGTTGAGGGATAATTTTGGTGTCAAAGTGAAAAGTTGAGGGACCAAAATGGTACTTAAATCATATGAAAATCAATAGCTATTAAGAGATATGAATATATGTTTTTCCAAAACAAATAAATAAATTTTGTGTAGAGCAGCGATCAGCATGATCAAATTTAATTCTGCTAGCCAATTTTTTTTTTTTTTTTTAATTTTCATTGGTTTAGTAGGTCCATATATGCTTTTTCACATAAAAGATCACTAATTTCTGGTTTGCCTTTTTTTAAGACCAACTTAAGAAAAGACAGAAATAATGAAGATAAAGTTAGAAAAAAATATATTTCTTTAAATTAAAAAAATAAAAAATTAACAAAATAAGAAATAAAATATTTGCAGCCTTAATAATATATTCTTAGTGGCCATAATCAGACCAACTTTTCCACCGAAAAAATCACTCACTTCTTTTTCTTTTTTTTCAAAGATGAGGATTTTTTTTTCTCAAACAATTTGTCAAGGAATGGAGTCAAACCCACTGAAAAAGAGAAGAGATGCACATCAATATAGCAACAGGCCACTTGACCCGAACGGCCAAGTGCCAAATATGAGGATTTAAGCGTCACATATACGTAATTTTTTATTTTCTAGAGATGATAATTTAAGTTCCACCAAAAACAAAAATAAAAGAAAAATGATGGTTTAAGCCTTTAAGGGTCCAAACACCGAAGAAATCACCGTTCTTTGTTTTCACACCTACTCAGACCCGCCAGTCTCTTTAACTTGTCCGATTGAGAGAAATATCCTCTATATATATATATTGAATAAATCTGTAAGTAATCGAATTCGAAACATTATTTAAGAAAAAAGTACTTTACGGGGGGGCATAAGGTTATTGGGCTGAAAGCCAAGTGCATCCTCTATATTTTCTTTAAGTATAAATAAAAATTTTAAGTTAATAATTTATTTCTAAAAATATTAATTAAAAAATAAATTTATAAATAAATCTTTTTAAAGAAATTTTAAGAAGGTTACTAGAATATTCTCCCAACCGGACAAGTGGTCCAGAAAGAGAGGTATATATTATAATGCTTTATAATGCTTTCCGCCGAACGCAGATATTATGTTGGCAAACTTTAATTATCACATATGACGATACTGAAGACAACAAA